CTCACTGCAATAATTTCATAGGTTATCACAAACACTGGATGCAAGAGCAATCCTCCCATTCAACTCTGACTGGGTGGTACCATGCTGGAGATGACTTTAGCCAAGATACCCAAACTCCTGAATCAACATCCTGAGTGGATTCACCTCTCTGTTCCACTGGCAGATCGGCTGGGTCAGATGAATCCCTCATAACTTTTGACTTTTGATGGTTATGAAAGGGGCCGGCTTTCGCAGCTGCGTGGCGAACGGAAGTTGTTTGGTAACAGAGCCTGATTTCCCTACTTCTCATCAGGAACATCTGCGCACCCTAAGTCAACAAGATATCTAACTCCATATCTTAAAGTGCCTTCCCTCTAGAATGAAACATTTATCATTGCCAGGGTGAGCGCTGTCTCGGAGAAGAAAGAAGAGAACAACTAAGGCCATCACACAAGGAACACCACAGTTAACAGAGAACCATTCAGATGGCTGTCCTTCAACTTTGACAGCAGACATGGTTCCGGCACACATCTTTCAAAAGAGAAACAATGCTATCAGGCATAACAGAGCGTTTTCAGATTGTCCATACGGTTGAGACGATGCATTGAATCAAATGCAGCAGCAAGCTCTAGAAAACTTGCAAAGGCGAATGCAATCTTTGGCATTGCTCAATGATCCAAAAAAATTTTGTCATGGACGAATACACCGTCCGGAAGAGTCCTAGATTTCAGACGTCGTTTACCAACTGCATACTTCAACCATTCCAGAATATTCCAAGAGAATGATTTCCTAGGAGTAGAGAATAAGGTAATGCTAAGATAGTTAGCGTACTGAGATGTTGCATCAGAATAAATGACGTAAAGTTAAAGCCTTTACGCGTTGTCACTGGTCTCCGCCAAGGCTGCATCCTGTCCCCTCGCCTGTTTGTATCATATGTGGATAGAATAATCGGGTGCATCAAAGGCGATGCATGTATCGGCGTAGTAGATGTAGACGAGAAAGTGAATTGACGCCCACTGAATCAAAGATTTTTGTGACAGAAGTAACTTTCTCTCTGTAATTTAATTGTTGCCGTGCGCCCTCATTTACTACCTCTAACGATTCTCCCAACAGTTGAGCCTTCAATGCACAATGAATTAAACGAAAAAAGCCATCAACATTTTAATCTTCGTTTACGCTGTTCGTAATGAGATTTCTTATCGACCGTAAAAGAAACGTGAGATATTCGATTTGCACAATTTCTATGATATCAGAATAGCTGCTGCTAAACAGCTTGTAGAACGATAACATTTCATTTAGTATACATAAGCTATTTAGGAATCGTCAGCTAAGGCAGAAAACCTTAAAAACCAGCGTTGCCAGATGGATGAGAGGTGGCGATTAACAACACAGAAGTAAACTACGGTAGCAGAACTTGAGTACACAGAAGTACCTGCCAAATGGAATCCAACAGTTTCGCCTTGCCGCCTGGTTTACCGATACCACCGCAAGAGGCAGTTCGTTCGTTCGAGCATGGTTTCGACGCTTTCAGGCCAGTCGAAAGGGATGGTTCAGCAGCGACGACGTAGGCATCATCCGCCAGCGACACCAAAGCTGGCGACTGAACGATGTCCTGAAATCCACGTAGTGCAGCGGACGCAATTTCCGTGTTGTCACTGACAGCGAACGTTTCGATAAAGTGCAGCAATGTACAAAGGTCCTCGATGAGACAGTCTGAAATTATGCAAACTGATGATGATCAGGTTCAAGGATTAACATGGATTAATTAAATTTTGCTAGAAATCCAGTCCTATTAAACATAGTCACTGTTCAGCGTAAACATCAAAATCTGTTCTGGTGTTCGAAGCAAGAAGGTGGGTCCCATATCCGAAATTGAAATTTTATGGTTATCTGCTGAACTGGAAAGCTACAATGTAGTAGGTACCCAGAATATTGGGGTTATCTTATGTGTATACATTTGCCTATGGATAGTAGCAAATTTAGTTGGTACGTGCCCTAGTTCAGCCTAACTCAAAGATGCGGTCTGCAACTAATGCACCGCAGGTGCTAAAATACTATGACATCGTAACCTGTTTAAATGCCCCCCGCCCCTCATGAGATTAGAATCAAGAAGAGGTGTGCTTATCCGGAGTAAATGCGGTATCAGAAATTGATAAGAAGGATATTAATGAAGCTATCGACTACCATTTCTAACGAAATACCAACGAACTTGAACCGCTAGTCTCTAAATTCAAAACAAATGCGAATTATTACTGATAAATAACACTTTTAGAAAATGGTGATTACCATATCCAAGTGCAAGAAGAACCGGAACCTTCAGGAGAAACACCTTGATGACATTGTTAAGCGTCTGAGAGGCGGTTTCTGACCATTGTTTGCTTTCTGTGTCTCTTGAATGATGCACAAGTATGTTGGATCCGCCAATGGTTTCGGTATCTGTTTTGACCCGGGATGCGGAGAACGTCAGATTTTTCACCTTGTCCAAAAGAGGAAAGAGAACCTGCAAATCATCTGATTAAAAAGTGCTACTGTAAAAGGTTCGGAACAAGAAATAACTCACGCTACAAAATACTGAGCGCCACATGCGTACTTCTACCAGATCGCCGTGAGACACGAGAGTGCTGAGCAACGTTTGGCCAGCACTCTTTCTTATGGCTGGTCTCAAGTCAGTGCATAGCTCACTTAGCGACGTGTAAAGTCCAAGCAGCAGGTTGTTCAGCGAATCGCTGTCGGTGCTGCGTATTGACTCACGATTATGAAATATGAAATCGCTGAGGTTCCACTAAACAAACATTATGATTAGCGCAATGAAATCTAAGATATGTAAATACATATATATAAAAATTCAGAAAACTCTCGTACCAGATTTCCTACGGCGCTAAGGCTGATATTCAGGTCTTTTTGGCGATTACCGTATTTTGTACTGATGCCCATCAGCAAATATATGCATTCGCTGTCCAGACAATTAAGAAAATCAGTGATGATCACCTGAGTAATCTGAAAACCGTAGCGAACCAATGCTTCGTTTGGACTGAAACGTTTAGGAGATTAAAATAAACCTTGCAACTCACGTTTTCCGTCTTTTTCCTTACCACTGATCTTTAGAAACCACTGAACCGGCGATGTCGATCAACGGCAACCAAATATCTGGATACATATTCTGGTCCTTGTTACTCATAATCGAAAGGACACATTGCAATTGCTGTATGCGAACGTCGTCGAACTGCACGTCGCTGAGGGATAAACATGCGTTAATAACGGACTGTCGTAACACCTGCAAAAAACATAAAAGCGTGAATAATAACGTTAAAATATCTAGGTCAAAAGGGACAAAAAAAGGCTGGTAAAAGCCTGTTTCTTTTCAAAAAAGCAGAAATGCTGTCAGATCCATCAAACTTAGGCTAATAAAATTAACAGTCATAGAACTAACCGCTAGACCCCTGGAAGGTTCTTCTTGCGAATGTATTTATATGCGGAATTTACGGTACGTAAACACAATACACAGCACTGCAGCTAAAAAGTTATAAGAAAAGTCAAGTTTAAAGAACTTCATAGAAGGCCCAGCGCAGTAGCGGATGTCAAAATTCGGTTATCTTCGTTCAACAGCTCATCTTGCAACGTGTTAATGAACCGGGTGTCATTTTAACAAAATTGAGTCATTTAAATACGACATAATTACTTCACTATATATTTGAAATCAATTACACGCATTTTATGATTCTAAATTACCATTAACATTACATGTAACATCTATTAAAAAGCATAAATTTACTATATCAGGTAAGATGGAATTAAAGCACTATCCATATTCCAAAATACCTAGATGACTATTTAGCAAACCGGCTGTACGACCGGAATTTCAGCACCTGCAATGCATAGATGCAACTTGCTTTAAAGTGTCTTCATTGCTTCTTCGTGTTTCAGGAAGAAACAATCAAATACTTTTACAGTAGCGTTTCGATGCCAGAAGTATACTAGGATGCATAAGCTCAGCAAAATGAGCTACGCGGTGCCACAGTACATTCATCTCACTTCGATATATCAAAAGGAGTATCTACGCAGACCACAACGCAATGACATTCGAGCATCTATACCACACTAATGCATATAACATCGTTTCCATTGGCTAAACCAGAATCTTTCAGGATGCCCAGTATATATGAATGTACTAATCTAAATAAATACTTAATTTGCATTAGGACAACTATATTACCTGACCAATTCCAGCATTACGTGAATCCCTATGGCGAAAATCTGACATGATGGCACGAGAGTGATAACCTGTTTTTAAAGCAATAAGATTTATGTTGAAATCACTAGCAATTTTAGACTTAGACAGCTGTAAAAACAGCTATACGACTTTAACGATAATGAAAGGTATGACTAAATAACAGCACATTTTAAATAATCGTTTGAAGAAAATACATCCAAAATTCAGGAAATCTCATGGATCGAAAATAATTAAAAACGTACTCTAGCAAGATCCACGGGGTCAGAGAGACATAT